GAGTGTGCTGACGCTGCTGACCATGCTCTGATGTCTAAGGCGAGGGGCAGCCGTTCCGTGCTCCTGATTCTAGAAAGGGCGAGGCAGCGCTGGTGCTCCTGATTTCTAAAGCGGAGTGCAGGCATTGCCTGATTCTAAAGGCCGAGGCAGCCGTTCCTTGCCCGATTCTAAAGGCGAGGGCAAGCCGTCCTGTGCTCATGATTTAAAGGCGAGGGCAGCGTCTGGTGCTTCTTGTTCTAAAGGCGAGGGCCGCGGGCATGTGCTCGTGCTCCTGATTCTAAAGGCGAGGGCAGCCGTCCTGTGCTCCTGATTCTAAAGGCGAGGGCAGCCGTCCTGTGCGCACTCACAAATGAAACAACACTCTTCAGGGAGGAACCGCACTCAGGCCGTCCACACCCTTCCCACACCTCCCTCCTCCCACAGTTCTGTCAAGCAGGACACATGGACGGAGGGGCCTTGGTCTTGTCGGTCCTGGCTGCTGCAGCCCCCACGAGGCTGACCTGAGAGGCCAAGGTTGTACACCACGATTGCCACAAAGGCCATGGCTGCTCCTCCTTGACAGTCACCTCCATGTGTCAATTTGGCCAAGCAGGCGGGCGCCAGCAACACCCGCAGGACGGGTGCTGATGGCCCGGGGACTCCCCTAGGCCACCCCTAGATGGCGCCATGGCCCAGGGCTGCCAGGAGCCGTAGCTGCCACAGAAGGGGCAGGGGTGCCGGGCAAAGCCTGAGGACCATGTCAGCCACCCACAGAGCAGGGGCCTCTAGAGCGCTGTGCTCTTGGATCAGAGGCGGCTCCGGGATGCTCCTCCCACTGGGTGTCTGCTGTGGGCACCCGTGGGACCTCCTGACCTGCTGACCTCCCACCCACCCCGCAGGCTCCACACCTGGCCGCCCACACTGTGCGTCAGAACAGGATTCTCAGCAACACTGGGGAGAAAAAGTTCAAGAAGACTATGAAACAACGTCCCCATGGATACCATTTAGACACAAACAGCGGCCTGTTCTCTAGCACAGTCAACTGAGTGTCTTGTTCCCAGCAAGTCACAGCCACTGACCACACGGAGCCCTCCTGGCTCCAGGA